ACCTGGCCCGCCCAGGAGCGGCTCGAGGGAGTCTGGCACTGCTTGGGGCAGTGTTTGAGGTGAGCTGCCCCCTCCTTGTCCCCCCAGGGCTGGGTGGGCAGCGGGCAGAGCCCAGGCGAGTGCAGGCAGCTGCCAGGCTCTGAGAATTGGTGGGTTCGGTTCGGTTGTGTTTTTCCGTTTACCACTTCTGGCACTGCCCAAGCTGGTGTCTTGGCTTCCCAAGGCTTTGTGTCCCTGGGGTGCCCAAGGCTGGTCCAGGGGGGCTCTTTGTTCCCCCAGGGGATGGGGGCTGGGAGGGGCAGGGGCGCCGCCCCCCGGCAGGAGGGGATGAAGGCCCTGGAATCATCAGGGGGCCTGGAGCAGCTGTCAGGGGTGGTGGGGGTGAGGCGCCTGCAGGGAGGTGTGCTCTAGGCTCTCTCCAGACCCCTTCTTTGGGTGGTCTCTGATGGAGGTGTTCTCCTGCCTCTCCCGTTTCTTCTCCCTCCCTCAGGACAACAGGGAAGCATTGGGCTTTGTCCTGGGGCCACTCTCTGCCCTCGTTGCCTTCACGGCCAAGATCCCCGCGCTCTCCAGAGCAGTATGTACCTGCCTGGCACAACTGCCCTTATGCCCCCCAAGTCCCAGGCAGGGCTCCCCAGCCATGATGGTGACTCCTACATCCCGTTGCAAAAGCCTTGGGGGGATTCAAGGTGCCCATGCCCCCTGCACAGCCCCTTCCAGCTCTTCAGTCCTTGGGGCAGATGCAGGGCTCGGCACAGCAGCCCCCTTCCCAGCAGGGTGCAGGGTCCCTGTGCTGGCTGTGGCGGTGGCCCAGTGGGGGACGGAGTCCATGACTTTTCCAAAGCAGGCTCTGGGCACTCAGTGCAGGGGGAAGCCGTGCCCATGGAGGCCGCCGTGGGCCACCCTCTCCTCGGCCACAACCGGCGTCCTCTACGCAGCAGTGATTGTCACCCATGTCCTGAGGGCCCTGCCCTGGCTCCTGATCGCCCTGGGCTTGGTAGCACTGGATGTGGCCGTATCCTTTCCTAGCTCCTCTCCTGGGGCTCTCAGCTGGGACACAGAGGTGGATGGGGCATGGCTCATCTCCTGGCCCCAGTGCCCAGGCTGTGGGACTGGCGTGGGGAGGGGGTTCTGCTGTTGCTCCAGAAATATCC